TTAATCTCTGCTCATTGCATAGACAAGAGGAAAGAATTCCGTGTGCTTCTATTTTTGAATAAAGTTATGTGCAGTTTTTCTTTAAATTTTGACCACAACAGGAAGAATTTTTAGAGAACAGTTTTTAGAAGTTTTAGAGAACAGTATCTTTGAACAATCCTTTGGAGACACTGTAACAACATTACCGAAAAACTGGTGGTGGGAAATATCCTACTAAAGTCAGTGACAGAAAATGTACCAGATGATGGTCCATGAACAAAGGAAACCCTATTACTCCAGGACTATTTATCGTTACTCTGCCAAGCACTGCCTTTGGTCATGTCAGAAATTTAGCTGGTAACCTTTTATCAAAACCTTTAAGTATTCAATCTAAAGAACTCAGATTAGATCATGCACAGAAATATAGTGATAGTGAAAGAAGATTCTGTGGCAAAGAAAATTAAACTAGAAATTAACTATTTTGATTCATCAAGGTAAAAAAACAAAAAACCACTGAAGCCATTATTCACCTGGAAAGCTGTAACCACTTCATCACATCAGCATGGAGACAAACTAAACTGACACAACCTCAGAAGATTAGTTATTACTCTAGTCTAATCCAATTAAGTGTATTTCCTGATTTTACTCAAATGAATACAGCAAGACTACTCCACCAACTCCTGCAAAGGAAACAGCAATAATCTGCTGATAATCTGCAACACAAGTAATAAAATCTCTCTATAACAAAAGGTTTGGTGTGGATTTTTTTATAACATCAAATTTGGGAAAATAGTTTAAAAAAAAAAACTATTTAAGCTTTCTAAACTATCTGCTATCCAATGATCAAAAGCCCTTGGAATTTCCTAACCATTTCAGAATTCATGCCATATTTACCAAGAAGGATAAGGAAAAATGGAAGTGAACCAATGTTCTCCTATGGACTGAAAGACAAATTCAGATGTGCACATTTTGAGAAGGAAGGGTTCAAACATTACAATAACATCCATCACTTATCAAAAGCTTAAAAAAAGTACTAGTTTGTATGGTGCACCATGAAAAACACATTAAGCTGCATTTTGTTAAATGAAACAAAAACTCCGCTTCTAAGCTATTCATTATTTACATTTTCTTCCCCTCCTTTCGGGATACAAAAGATGGACTAACAGGTTCTCCTCTTTGACACTTTACTCCAGAAGCACAGGGAGTGGGGCAGCCAGTGCCTTCTTTCATTTGACTGGGATTTTAAAAGATTTCACCAATCTTCTCCAAATTTTTAGGGAACATACAAATTGATTTGAATATAAATAGTATGCAGTCGACAAAGCAGTGCTGGATTTGTGCTTAAGCACTGTGCCCAAACCCTACGTGTGTATCCTGTTTTTAAGGACTGTACATTGTCTTAATGTAAAAGTGTTAGAAAGTTCAACCTTCCTATGTGGTATTCAGGAAAGGGGGGAGGACGAGGACAATCAAGGCATTCTGTGCAGATGTTATACTAACACAACCAGATATCAGGATAAGAGTCACATCTGAATAAAAAGCAGGAACTTAAAACCACATGGAACATGAGAGAAGACAGAGTCCAATAAACCTTTTCCTCATTCTGGTTCTGGTTTTGAAGCAAACAGAACAGAAATAAACCAACCTGCCTAAAATAAAACACTTCAAAAAAAATGTCATCCGTAGCAATAAGACAGAAAACTCTTTTTGAGTAACACTGAGATACCAGATGGAAATTTTTTAATCAAGTGGAAAAAAAATACATATAAAAGCCCAAATTAATTACTGATTAATATCTGATATCAGAACAAGAATAACCAATTGTACAGTTACGACCTCTGAAGAAAAAAAATCTATAAAACCTCATTTAAAGGGAATAAAACTGTATGTCAACATCTCTACTGGGCTGGCAGTTCACATTCAGAATGAATAATTAGTAAAATTATCATTTGAGAGTATACTTTATTCATAAGGAGAGATACTAAATTCCGTTAAATTAAGGCAAATAAGTTTCCTTTACTAAGACTGAAAAAATGAAGAACAGTCGAGACTGATTTTGCAAAGACAGGCTGACAATTGAAACTGAACAAAAAAACTTGATGATTTTATTTTTTCCTCCACTGTTTACAAGATAGTTTTAAAGTCATTCATTATGTAAGGTTTAATTCCTAAATGTGTACATGACAGAAAGATCCTCATTTCAGTACCTTGAAGAAATACAGTCAAAATGTGCAGCCATGTTGGCAAACCATGTCAGCTCACCATCATTTCTAAAATTTGACAGCAATCTGCCTTCTCCAAGTGTAGGGTTAATTGCCATCTTACTCGAGGCAACTTTCAAAATACACTGATAAATTAATAGTTGCTAAGTATCAGTGGTACTTCAGAGGCACAATTTAAAAGGGAAAAAAAAAAAAAGAGAGTCTCAGACTTCCAACATTTTAATGATTCCTTTCTGCTGCCAGGTGGAACGTCTGGTGGATTCAGAAGAGCAACAGCTTCCCACGGAACTTAGCACAGATGACTAAATGCTTTTGATGGCACAGTGAACCTCTATTTTAAGACTTCACTTTTAACTTCACATCACAGTTCACTACCATATGACTAGAGGCCAAACATTAGGAATTTGCATTAAGAATGAAAGCACACACAAACTCCTGGAGCTACCAATGAACTGCTGCAGCAGGAATGGTATAACATAACATTTTACCTCAACAGGCAGACTTGTATTTTTACTGCAGAACATTTCACTTAATTGTGAGCCACTTGGATTTATTAAAAGGACTAAGAAATGATCAGTCCTATAAAGTTCACACTACTCCTTCGAGAATTCATCAGCAGAAAGACTAAGGTTTCAGCTCATACCTGTTATGAAGACAGTCATCTGCTAAGAGAAACAATTAACTTCCTATTTAAACTTACAGTTTACAGTAACCAATTTCTTTACTGGGCACCTAAAATACTGTAAACATAGAATTGTTAAGGTTGGAAAAGACCACTAAGATCATTGAGTCCAACCATTAACCCAGCACCATCATGTTCAGCACTAAACCATCTCCTCAAGTGCCACATCCACACACCTTTTGAACACTTCCAGGGGTGGTGATGCCACCATTTCCCCGGGCAGCCAATTGCAATGGCTTTTTGGCTCCTAAATGTCTAACCAGTGATAACACAACTACTCTAACAGTACTCTCAAGGTAGCACTAAAATGTGGGATTAACAAACATCACAAAGTAAAAGTTGGCAAATTTCAACCCCTCAATTTCAGGAGGAAAGCAGAGCCTAGACCTTGTATAAGCCACAGAAATGACACATATAAAACTATAAACTTGTCCAGTCACACTTTCACAGAGGCCAGATCCTCTCCTAACAAGCTGTGCATGTGTTGGCATCACCTAGTGGGTGAAGCTTCTTGATGGACTCCAGGGAAGGAACTCCTTGTTTCTGGATCTACGTAGAACTTAAACGCATACTAAATGCCTATCAGCACAGAAGAAACACTTCCAGGCAGATGTGAAAGCACTTTTTCAGAGGTGTAGAAGGTTTAAATAAAAAAATATCATCAACTAAACATCAAGTGAAACAGAGAGAAAGCACAGCAACTGAAGGACAAACATTAACCAGGTTTGACTTAGACACAGCACTTTTCCTCCCTTAAACCATATTTATTATTTATTATTATTATCCATATGTGTAGCAGTCACATTTAATAACTTCTTCTGCATACAGCATATCAAAATTACTTCTTTACATAAAACCATATTATTTATAGTCAAGGAAAAAAAATAAATTTGAAAGTCCTGGAAAATGAGCCCAGAATCTGGTTTGCTCACCAAACAGACAGAACACATGCTACAAAAGGGTAACTTCCCCCTACACCTTTCTCCCCCCTGCTCTTAGCCTGACTTGGGTAGAGCAATGTCAAAAGGTGCTTGGACTCCACGACTAACCAATCCCTGGATTCTTGCAAAGCCAATTATCTAAATTAGTAACAACTCCTGTCACTATTTCTGAAGCTGGCACGTATCCCTAAGATAGACATTAAATACGCATTTCACGCAAGCCAAGTTCGTCCACGCAACGCCAGAGCCAAGCACTGAAAAAGTTCATCGTTCTTTTCTCCTGGCCTACTGCAACAATTTAAGCTTTTTAAAGCTCTCTCTCTCAGGACATGTTCTGCGAGGTCATACTTTAAGAACCACTTATGCAACAGCAAAAGGAGCTCATGGTTTCTGTGGACAGAAGAAGCAGGAGGCCCAGAGAGGGCAATCAGTTGTAGCTCAGAGCCAGAGGCAGCAGCTCTACTCAGGATTTTCTAGAAGCCAAGGGCTCACTGTTTCCACTGGCCAGGCTGTCTTGCCAGGGCCTTCTCGCTGCTGCTCTATCCCTCTGGATGCCACATACTTTGGCATCTCCTGGCAGAATCCCCAGCTTCTCTTTCAACTGTCAACACTTTTTCCTTCCACCCAGCTACGCTACCCATTGGATAACAGCTGTTTGGTTGCCAAAAGAGAAAGACATCTGTGTCACACCTGAAACACCAAACACATTGCAGAACACCAGCAGTTTCTTGGTAAGCATTAGCCCAGGCTACTGCCAAATTCAATCAGAGCTTTGGCTCACCTGGGTTACCTCTAACCTTGGACAGTGGCGAGCAATTCTTGAACAAAAGGGTTTGGGCAGTCTGCAAGCTCAAACTGCAACCAGTGCAATATGTCCTACTCAAGATGGAGATCTTCCATGGTGAAGCAATGGCTAACACATAATAGAGATGAATAATTCCCTAAATCTAGAAAACATCCAAGGATGAAGGTCTGTCCATCATTTTAGCAAATGAAGCCATCCAGCAAATTGCATTGTAGCTGTGGTGAGGATGGAACATGTGGTGTGAGGCCATCGAAGTAACTCAAACCACCTACAAACCCTTCCCCTCCTCTCAGCAGGTTAACTCTGCAGACACCAGACTTATCAGGATTAAAGGGAGATACAGAAATACCTTGTCCCCAACATCCATTTACCTTGTCCTGAGGGCCTGCCAGGCTGCATCAATGTCTGCATACAGGTTTTTCTCAGAGGGCTTGCCGGTGCTCACCCCGTAGCCGGAGTAGTCATAGGAGAAGACGTTGCAGTTGATGCGGGAGCCAAGGCCGATGTAGAAGCTGCACATCTGGCCCAGGTCCACAGCATTGCCGTGCGAGAAGAGCAGCGTGTACCGGCCGGTGGGGGCACAGCGCACGAACATGCAGCCCAGCCTGTTATCCCGGGCCGTGCGGGAGAAGAACACTTCCACGGCATCCAGTTCCCGCTGGGAATACTGCCAGTCTGCCCGCTCGCTCAGGTGCAGACTGCAGGTGCCCGAGCCCGTGGGGGTGCCCGCCCCGGCCGCCGCCCCGGCCTCCTGCTGCTGCTCGGGCTGCAGCACGGTGTAGGTGGGCTCCGGGGGCAGGAAGGCCAGCTTGGCAGCGATGCGGCTGGGGCACGGCGGGCAGCAGAACAGCCAGCACAGCTCGCCCAGAGAGAAACCGTTCATTCTGGGGCCTTGTTCTGGCATCAGAGACGCCGCGGAGGAGAGCTAAACCTATCCTGGAAAAGAAGTCACACGCACACGGAACCGGCCCCAGAGCCCTCCTCCAAACACAACCTGCCGCCTTCCCTGCGAGGACACCGGCTGCCCTCCCAGAACGCAAACAATGGCAACCTTGGAGGAACCACAGTTCGGCAGCAGCAGTGCAGCTCTTCAAAGCCTCAAAACTGCTTATACAAACCAAAAAAACCCCAAACAACCCACGACCAACCTCACGAAACACAGATGGACTACAACCAGCCCTTAAAGCCCCCCGCAACTAACGCTACAGCAAGCGCAACTCTCTAGACCCCCCTCACGGAACATGAGCCACACGTACACATTTACAAAATGAATGCCCCGACCCCACGGCTCAGCGCGGCGCTCCAGCACCGGGGCCGACCCCCCGCAGGGAACATGCAGGAACCCGGGAAGCACCTTCCGCACCCCCCGCACACCGCGCGGCTCCGCCCGCTCCGCCCCGGCCCCCGGGACGCCCCGCACGGCAGCGAGGGGCCCCCGCAGCGCCACCGCCCCCGGCCCGGCCCCGGCAGGGAGGAGGAGGAGAAGGAGGCTGAGGAAGATGCGGAGGGTCGGAGGGAAGGGGAAGGCGAGGCGGAGGCTCAGCCGCGCGCGGCCGCGGGCAGGGCCATGCCGGCTGCGGCGCGCAGGCAGGAGCGGGCAGCGGCCATGTCCCGGCTCCCCCTCCGCGCCGCCGCAGCGCTTCCGGGTTACGGGCGCGGAGCGGCGCCGCCGCAGGTGCCGGGGCGGGCGCGGGGCAGCGCCCGGCCGTGCCCGCAGTGCCGCCCCCTGGGCGGGGCGCCGGGAGGTGCGGGAGGTGCGGGCGGTGGGTCCCGCAGCGCCGGCCGGGACGCGGGAGGAGCCGCCGGGCCCTTTAAGGGACCCCCCCTCCTTCTCCGCCTGTCGCCCACCCTTGCGCGTGCGCGGCGGGGCCGGGGGCGAGGGGCGGGAGGTGCCGGGGCCATTTCGAGCCGCCCGAGGGGGCTCTGAGGGGACGCGCCGGGGCCGCCCCTGAGCTCCCGCACCCTGAGGAGTCCCGGCCGCCGGCCCGGGTCACCCTGAGCGGTCACACCTGAGGCAGTGTCAGCCCTCAGAGCGGGCCAGGGTGTGCCCCGTGTGAGGGGCAACCCCAGGGCCTTGAGCAGCGCTCCTAGAGAATTGTCCGTGCTGTGCAGAAATGCCAGTGGAGCTGCCCCTCTGCAGTGCCCAGGGCTCTGCTCCCTGGGTCCCAGGCTCAAAAGCTGTAAAGGTTGTGTTAGATTTAGGTGGAACTGGCCAGTGGTTTCAAGAGGTACCACGGAAAACTAAAAGTGGCGCAATGGCAGAAGCCCCATTTCTTTAGAAAATCAGGGTAATAACCCATATCCCAAATAATTAATTGAATAAATTAGCTAATCACTTTGGACATATGGCAGACCCCATGGATCAGTGGTCATGGTATTGTGTCTGCATTCACCAATGCTAAGGGCAGAACGCAAAAGATTGTGGGTAAATGACACATTTATGTGTCACATTCTGTTGGTAACATAGCTTATAACAGTAGCCTTAAATCAAGCACTCTCTGCTTGATGAAAAAAAAAAAAACAACACTTAAAATAGCCCAAGTGAAAATATGAGGAAGATTACACCTGTGCAACTCCTCTTACTGTGAAATTCATGTACATCCAAGCAGTGCCCTGACTTGAAGCACGGCATTCATAGTGCTCTCCTAATATGTGTCCATTACCTGACTTGCTACCTACGAGGATCAAAGTTTCAAAAAATCAAGAATTGAAGTAATTTCATTAGTGACAAACCTGAGATGAACTTCTCTTGCAGTGCTAATATATTTGCCAACTCTAGGAAAAGTCCGTTCAAAACCTACAAAAGGGTTGGTCATGTGTGATATTCCTTTGCCTTTGGAACATCAAAAATGAGACCAGCCTCCATCCACATCAATCTTTAGTTTTGCTAACAATGGGAATTTTAGAAATGCTAAATTCAGCCAGCAGTAATTGTGTCTACACTGACTGTTAAGGGAGAAAATGAAAGGGAGAAATGTGTATCTCCAATCAGCTTGAATGTGTGGCCTCTGGCATGGACAGACTGTTCTCTGGAGGACAGAGAATACCCAGTTAATTACATGTGTTCCAGGCATGTCCTGCTGGGAGGGTGAGAGGGTGAGAGATCAGGCAGGGTAATGAAACATGTCCCACCTACTGGTGCTGGGTGCCTTCAGGTGGCAGAGACAGCCAACACACCCCACGTACAGGCTGTTCGAACACCTTATGAAATGAGGAAAGGGACTCCTACTCCACAGAATGCGAGAGAAAAATCTGGATAAAGAAAATACAGAATAGATAAATGAGGAACCCTGTGAAATTCCTTGGGTATCACAAATGCCCTCGAGCTCCACCTAAGCTGTTACAAGAGGCACCATAAATAATCTGTGGGAAGACTGATAGAACCCTGAGAAAACCCTTCATATACCCTGAGAAGTGATTTGGCTGATGAGATCTCAGAAGAGCCTGTCTACTGCTGCCGCTATGCGTCCCTTTCACTGCACACACACTGAAACCAAGATAAGAGCTGGAATTTGGGCATGTAGCACCAACTGAAACTAACATTTCTCAGAACTCTTTCAAAGGCTGTATGACTCGCCCAGAGCTAGACAGCAGAAGCTGTTATATCATAACTAGATTGCTACTCCAAAGAATAGACAATTAAAAGGACAATGTTTCCCATGCTCCACCCTGATCCTTCCTTAGCTCATGTTTGTAGTAGTGAGATTAAAGTGTCCTCTTTGAATCAAAGGGGAAGTGTTACGAATTTGCTCCTTGAGTGAACAAGGCTGTGCAAACCTCATTAGTTCTCATTAGTTATTAAAGTTATTTCTTCATTGTTCACATCATGCACTCTCTAGGGTTTACATTAATCTCAGTCCATCACTCGTACAGTAAAATAATTGCTGCACAGTAGGTGCCTCCTCAAGAAAGATAACATTTGTCAAAGCCTTGGAGAGCAAAATGAAGAAAGGAGCAAGAGGAAGTGGCTGGAATGGATATCATGCTGGATGAGAAGGATGGAGAAGTAAGAAAAAGGAGTTCCCAAATTGCTGCCATCATGGCAAGATGAAAACAGTGTCCATGAGTTTGATGCTCAGAAAAGTTGTAGCTCAAGAAAGTAATGCAATCAGGACTCAAAATTAGCTTTTAGAGTGTATCTTGTATCCTGAGTTTTCAAAAGAAGCCTGTAATGCACAATTGCTTAAGAGAGTGAAAATTAAGAGAATTTTTATCTATCTGTGTGCTGTTCAGTGGCAGCTACATCGCTAACCTTCCAGGACCCACGGTTGTACTGCAGCTTGCAGGGCTGGAGGGGTGGCTGTGGAAAGTTGGACACAGACCAACACATCTCTCACATGCACCCTGTCCCTGGTGCTGCCCAGAGCTTGGTTTGCTCTCCTGACATTTCAGACAAGTCTCAGAGCTGTCCTAATTCCAGTAGCCCACCAAACGACCATGCTAGCTACATCCACCACCATAGAGAGCTTTGGTTCCTCATAGCATGCTTCCTCCTTCCTTCAGCTTCCTCTTTTGATAAAGATCTCACTCTTTCCCTGGAATGAGGATGTTTCCAGGATGTGCAAATCTTCTGACATCATTATGTCCAGGTACTCAGCTATGGTGGGACAACAGAGAGGGAACGTGCCAATATTTCTCTGCTCAACATTTGAAGCTGCTACTTGAAGAATGGCTGTTTGGGATTTTTCCTGTGTGTGTTCCCCTGATACCACTGCTTCAATCCAGCAGTCCCTCTCATCTCAAATGTCTTTTCCCCTAACTCCTTACTTCCCTCTGCTCTTGCTTCTCCTTTTCCTTTTGCAGCCAGCAGGCATTTGCACAGTTTTCACTTGACCAAATACTGTGAAAATGCTCAAGAAAAACAAGTTTTTCCTCTTGTTCTGTTACCACAGAACTCATCTTTTTAATGATCTGTAAAGACATCCCTACTGCTCTGCCTTGTAGCTAATATGACACTAAGCCTCCATGAAGTACCCTGCTTCTTCACTAAATGTTAATATATGGTCTGTGAGGGAAGAATATGCAAGCATTTGATAATAAACAAATGTCCAGCCTGCTTAGAGAAGGGATGTATCCTACAGGAAACCATGTTATCTGTAATGTTTTTACTATCCTTTAGTTAACTAGCCTTTAGTTAATTGTTGATGGACCTAGAAAGATGCTTCAGGTGAGCAGAGAAGATCTTCAAATAGCTACCAAAAAGGCAAATATAACAAATGGAGCACACAGTGGTTGGTTACGTCTTGGTTATTTCCATGTCCTGTAGCCTCACCATGACTGTTGCAAGGGTAGAGAACTTTGCACTCCACTTCCTTTTCCTGAACACTAGATAGACAAAAGAATAGGCGAGAAGACAGTGAGACCAAAGCCAAAGAAGACACCTGGCAGCAGCTCTGTGAAGATTATATATGTTAAACATTAACCATGTCTGACTTCCTGCTGCCGCTGGCCAACTGTGTGACTGTTACAGCTGGATAAACAGTCCACATCTAATACCTGCACACCTGCAACCATCATCCGATTGCAGGACTGGTCACAGATGCCAAACTCAGACTAGGAAGTTCCTCAAAGCATTTTTGTTCATTTCCTGGATAAACAGTGCATGAAAAGTGCAACTATTATTTCTTACTGTTGATGTAAGTTAGTAACTGTGTATCCCAGGTCTATTTTAGAAAATGTTAAAGCAGTAGCAACACTGACAGGCAATGTCTCCACCAGCTGTAGCACAAGGCAAGAGATCTCACTGGAATCTACCAAACTCAGGTGCAGGGGAAATAATGAAGCTCTATTAATGAGCACACTTGGCTCTGTTCTCATCAGCCGTTTTATTGTCAAGTTCTTTGCAGTTTCTGAGCAAAATGTGCTTGAAGGAAGAATTTGAAAGAGAAAAATTAATTTCCTTTGGGGAGGGGAGAAGACCCTCCCCAACACAAGAGAACCAGATGTAGTGGGAAGTGGTGTGTCTGGAAAAAAATGCATGGCAACAGATTGTGGCATCAAGAACTTACCAGAGACATATATTCCTCTGGTGCTTGAGAGATCAGAGAATCAAAGAGTACTTCAGGTTGGAAAAGATCCTTAATATCACAGAGTCCAACCATTAACCCAGCACTGCCAAGTTCATCTCTAACCACATCCCTATGTCCCGCATCTACACTTCTTCTAAATACCCCACATTTATGTTTTTTGGCCCACACTTATGTTTTATGTTTATGGCCCACACTTATGTTTTTTTCTGTTAGGTGTATCCTCCCCTACATTGTGCCCATTACTTATTTCTCTTTCTGCAGCCAAGGAAGATTGTAGCCATTTCCTGCCACTTAAACCCATGTAGCATTAAACTTATGGGTCTATATGGACAAAAGTG